ACAGGCAATGACATCTCTGTGTACATAATGCCACACCTAGATACAAAGACGCAAGAGAAGGGCAGAGTTCTGCCAAGGTAGGCAGGCCTCCACGCAAACAACCAGCAAGTAACCACTGTACTTCCGTGTTTCAAGGGTTGCATGGTGCTACTTGGGAACTGATTCACTAAGTTTCCACCAATCTGCTCATGATTTTGTTTCCTGTTGCTCTGCCTATAGTAAGTCTAACCCATTACAACACATGGGAGATTAGTATTTGTCAAGTAATTGACATATTCTTATTTTGAGAGAGAGCAGTCCACATGCCCTTCTGTCTTCCATGTGTGAGCAATGGACTTAGCCCCTGGGATCCCGCAGTGCAAATGGGCAGTTTAGGGATTCATTAGGACACTGTATGGGACACCCTGGGCACCAATATGGCCATGCAGGGAGGGGGCCTGCCGTAAGCCTCAGTTCCCACTTCCCTTCCTGTAATGATATCAAAAGATCAAACACTTGTAGAATTAACAAAACACGCCAAGTGCTTTCGAATAAAGAAGTAATTGATCTTGTCATACTTAGTACATGACACTGCTTAGTTCAGTGAACAGTAGGCTTGCAACTGAATTGGTTGATGATTTAGAAACAATCTAGAAGTCCTTACAATGTTTGAGGTATTGTCCCAGATAACATTTTTTTAAGATTTACATTTATTTGAAAGGCAGAGAGAAATCAAGAGAGACAGAGACACAGAGAGAAAGTGAGCGAGAGACAGATTTTCCATCTATTGGTTTGATTCCCTTTCCAAATGGCCTCAATAGTTGGCAGGTCTGAAGTCAGGGGCAAGGAGCCTCTTCTGGGTCTCCCATGCAGATGCAGGGACCCAAGAACTCTGGCCCTCCTCTGCTGCCTTCCCAGACCGTCAGCAGGGAGCTAGCTGATCAGAAATGAAGGGGCTGGGACTCCAAACCAGCAGGCGACATATTTTGATGACAGCATTTGAAACCCAAGGAATTCTACGTTATTGCTAAATTTTGTGCAATTGCCTCCCTAATGCAAAAGCTAAATTTGTCTTACTGTTGAGGAGTTCTTCCATTTGTGAAAACACAAATGCTATTGCATTTTTCATGTGCTTTTCTATAAATGGAAGCCCAGAGATGATTTTTAAATTTCAGCATCTCAAACTATTTATCCTTTTTGTATAAGTTTGGAGGATAGGATCCCTAAGCCTTATGGATTCCGCTATTCTCAATCTCTCTCTCTCTTTCTCTCTCTCTCTCTTTCTCTCTCTCTCTCTCTCTCATTTTTACTCATTTTAAGGCTACACTGAGTTCTAACTGTCATTCAGGGACACTTCTAAGGACTGCACTTAGGCCTTTGATACTAGAAATCTTTACCTCCTTCTAATATATTTTCCACATTTAGATTCATAATCTCATTTCCACAGTTCACCTGCCGTATGTACACACAGATTAATAATGTGCACAACACACTGTATAAAATCAGGTAACACATTGAAACTGGTGCCATGACACAGTCAAGTGTTTGCTTGTAGTGCAAGCATCCCACATGGGTGCTGGCTGGAGTCCCGGCTACTCTGCTTTTGATCCAGCTCCCTGCTAATGTGCCTGGGAAAGAAGTGAAAGAGCCCAGTTCCTTGGGCCCTTGTACCCATGTGGGAGACCTGGAACGAGCTAGTGGCTCCTGGCTCCAGACCAGCTCAGCTCCAGCTATTGTGACCAGATGGAAGATCTTTTTCGGTCTCTCCTGAATTCTGCCTTTTAAATAAATACATGCATTTAAAAAAGAGAGAGATTACAGATGTCAAACTACTTAACATATATGTGCAAATTTAGGTATGGAGATGGGGGCTGTTTTGGGAGCTTTAGGTGATGAGCCTTGTCTAGTGTTACAGGCTAAGGAAGCTGAGTGTGCAACACGAGAGGAAGTCCACTGTTCAGAGTGCTTACGTCATCGCCTTCAGTGGTTTGAAAGATGCTGTTATCAGTGCTGAACTCAGTACTGTTGCTCACATATTCATTTAAGGCAATTAAATGCCAGAATATCGTTTCTATCAGAATAAATGTGAACAATAATCACAGTATCTGCAATTCACCTGTATTCCAAGACAGGTATTTGAAATGATAGCTCCAAATGAAAACAAGCAAGTAAATGCCCCTCTAGAGGTACACTGTAAATGTCTGCTGACAAATACATTGAAGAGATTCAAAGGATAGTAAGTGTATCTCATGCAATTTAAAGAACTGGTTTTCTAAGTTGAGCAAAGTTCCCCCCAAACATTCGTGCAGCAGACTTTTAAGAAGGCAAAACTTTTATGAATTATTAGAGTCACTGAGAAGTTCAGGTTCCTGGCCTCAGGCTAGAATTTCAAATCCTTCTGGTCGGGGTGGGGTGGGGAAGGACAGCGGTTCAGCTAAATGTAGAGTGTTAGAGGGGTTTCCAAGAATACAGAAGCTTTCCAGCCATCCCCTGCCCCTCAGCTGCATCCTGCGTGCTTTACCTGGGAAAGAGGGAAGGTCTGGAGCTGAACCTTGGTGGTTCAGCAGGAACCAGGGACTGGTGAGCCCAGCACTGGCAGAGCTTGGGGCAGCCTCCGGGGAGGAACCCCAGTGACTGAGTTCTGGGTTCATCACCGGGATTGTAATGGCTAATTCAAGTCTTTATGAAGACCTAGTTTATCGTCTAGACACATGATTTCTGGAAAGAATATGGTCCAGAGTGAGTGGTAGGTTGTTAAAAAAAAAATTTCAGACAGTTTTATTGTAAATGACCCAAAAAAGGGATGGGGAGAAATACAGAAAAAGGAAAAATACCAACTTAGTAGTTGAATGGTAGAAAAAAAATCAAATGAATTAAATTGTTCAACAAGAAACTCCCTGATAATTTCATATTTTGAAAAGTTAACACTTAGAAATGATGAGATTTTTAAAAACAAGTTTGCCATTCATTTCTCCATATTCATTTTCCCATGAGTGTTAGCTTTGTCAGATTAGGGGACATTTTCAAAAAAAAAAAAAAAAAAAAACAAAAACCCTGCAATTAACGCAAGCCACAGGGTCACAATCCCAGAATTCCTTTTCTTATTTCAGATTCTTGGAGTGTGATCTTTGATTTTCTCTGCAGCAAAACAAAGAAAACTAACAAAAGCAGCAGGATTTCAGCAAGCTTCTGATAAGCCCACAGCTCGATCTGCCATTAGATCGTAGCGGGCAGGTGAATAAACCCATGCTCACGGACGCCCCACAGACCGCCGCATTCCATCAACCTGCTTATTTCACTCTCCTGTCGCTTTGTGGGCTTTTCCTACCTGGCCAGATAAACATTTTTTCCCCCCCATTTTCTCCATGCAAGACAATCCTGAAAGGCTTTCTTTCTTACCAAGAAAACAGAATACATTTCTGATTTGAGTGACAGGAGAGAAATATCTGGTTACACCGTCGCCGGATGTGAGTCTCTGGCAGACAGCAAGCTTGCTTCAATCCCTCTGAGTGGCCACACTCAAGCTGAAGAGCAATTAATCTCTCTTTGAAAAAGATGTACTCTGAGTTTTCATAAAATACACGAACAGGTTGCTCAGCTGGTGAGTCAGGACAAACAACAGCGGCTAACGCTCAGGAACAAACCTTTCCCTTACCTGGGAAAGACAAGGGTCCAGAAAAGACTTCACTGGCTTTGACAAAGACTACATGCTTAAAGACTACATGCTTGTCTCAAAGTGCTGTCATTAGGAAAGGTAACCACATACGCGATGTGCAAACACCAACAGGTAGCAGAAGGTCAATGAGCAGGAAGGAGAAAGGCGCTTCCAGACAGCCTTAAAAGAACATCAGGGAAAATGGCAATAAAGATAAAAAAAACCAGACAAGAGAAATTGAAAAATTATTCTTTCTCTGTCTCTCCCACATCTTCCATCTTACAGATGGAATTCCCTGTGCAGAGGAGCAATTCTATACGGAGACAGGACAGAGGAAACCCGAATCCCAGGCTCTTTGAACCCAAGGTATCTGCAGGCACAAGAGTTAGTTTCCAGAACATTCTTTTCACAATTTTCTTTTGTGTGCGAAGTGCTTACATTTTTCCTTTGTGCACAAAATTTTTTCTTAAAACAACCCCCCCCCCAAAAAAACCAGAATCTCATCAGTCAAGAAAAATATTTAACAACCGAGGCAAAGCCATCACAGTCAAGTTTTCACTTCGAGATTCTCATCTTAGGTGTGGGAGGCGAGGGAAGGCTCCCGGCACATCAGAGTGAACCTAGAATGAGGAGAGGAGGCGCAGATGCTGCCAAGTCACCCACATATCCGTATCCTGGAGGGGCGGGGCAGCGTGTAGCGCCAGCTGTCCATCTGCACGTGCTGACCCAGCAGTGCCGTAGCCGGGGGACGCACGACTCCCACGTCTGTGTGGCGCTCCGAGGGTGGGCGAGGGAGGCACAGCCTCATCACAACCACCACAGCTTTGAAGGCAACAGACCTCTTATCCCAGATCTGGCTCAGCCAGCAGCAGCCTTTTCAGCTACCCAAGGTGACGGCATGAGATTACACAAACACTGGCCCTTGTAGTGCAACTGTTCACAAATAAGTGTGGCGGCATATGAGCACCGTGACACAGAGTTAACAGCCCCTCCCCATGCCCTGGCTTCCCACCCACTGCTCAACCAGTTGACATTGCATCATCTATCCCTCGTTATCCACTTATTTCACTGACTTGATTCTGGCATGGTATTATTCCCTTTAGGTCAAAGACTCTGAAAGGCAAAAAGGCAAGCCACTGCTTCCTTGGGGAGAACAGATTAGCAAGGATACGTGCGGACACCCCTTTCCTCAGAAGGGCTGGTCCAGGCTGGTTCCAGTGAGCAGAGAACGAGAGACCCCGGCACAGCACAGAGTTCCAGTGAGGCAGGGACAAGCAGCCACCGCTGGGAGCCGCTGTTCAATATTCAAGTGCATTACCTGATACGGGTGTAAGGCAAACACATCACAGAATGCTGAACACCTTACCTGGGCCATCTGCCTCTCCAGTTTTGATCGGGGAATATCATCAAAGTAGTTCTCATTTCTTCTCCTCCTTGCATCGCCCTGCATGATAATGTGAGGAACGTCTAGGGAGCCACCAGTGGTGTAAGTGCTTTGGCTAAGTGATGGAGACAACTGAGGAGGAGTGTGATTACCACTGGGTTCCTGAATGGAAATACATCATGAAATAAATACGATGCTCTGCGGCTAGCCTTCGGTCTCACAACTGCGAAACACCGACACGACACAAACCCCTGGGGAGGTGGGAGCTGCTTTTGAGTCAACTGCCAAGCACGGATGACAGTCTGCCATCTGGTTAAAGGGAGTCTGCACGTCCCGTCCTCCCCACCCCCCATAAGCATTTTGCGCTGAAGGCTTAAAATATTGGGAAGCGGGCTTTGTTTGCGTGCACCATCTGAGCAGCACACACGCCTGTATCGGGTATCTCTGACACCATCACGTGTGTTTACAAGGGGGTCTTCCTGTGGGCAGAGGGCCCTCACCATGATGGACGCCAGCCCGACAATGCGATCATGGGACCCAAGGGGTCTGGATCCTCTGCCACAGCGTGTTCTGACAGGAAGACCCAGGAGAGGACCCAGAAGGGCAACGCTGTTTGTCACATGGACTACAGAGCAACGCACATAGTGACAGAGGGTGCTCAAGCTGAAGGGAGCTGGCCACAAGTGTGACCATCTGAGAGGATGCTGAGCTCTGCTGTCTGGGGCCTTGCTCAGCCTGCAGCCCATGTGTTCCCCCCTGGGAGCTAGGGGCGGGGGCTGTCCTAGGCCTTCTTGGAAAGAAGTAGGTTCTGCCCCTTTTCCTGGAAATCTCTTTGACCTGCACGTTGTTCTGCTAGAGTTGGACATTTAGAGAGCAAGTACAGCACTGGGGGGTCACATCATCTCACAGACATGGCACCCACGGCTTCCTCTAGGGCTGGGGGAATAAAGGAAGGTAAGACCATCATCCTTTTCTACCAAATTCTCCTCCTTCCTACACAAGGCTTCTCTCTCTGAGGGGCAAAACCAATCTTATTTCTACCTTCAGAGCTCCCAAAGCCCTCGAGTAGCTTCCATTTGGACACTGGGAATCCCAGGGTCCTGATTCTTCAAGAATCAGCTTCCTGCATGGCTCCCTCCTGGAGCCGATGCACCTGCACCTCCTGACACCTTTATCTCTTCTCTTGTAAAACTCACTCGGACTCAGAATCTTCACAGCTCCTCTGCCACCTGCCTGCCCCCTCCTAGCCGCCACCCTGGCAGCAGCCATTCAGTTACCCTAGATGTCCCTCATCTAGTATTGGTGATACTCTGACACCTGCACAAAGGGAATCGGAAGAAGCAAGTGCAGGACAAACTCTAGAGAACAGAATGGGGACTCTCCAACTTGCCCGGGAGAGTCTAACTTTGAGAGGCAACTTGGGAAGGCTCTTCTAAGTGTCATGAAAGTGGGGCACCACGGCTACTCCTTTCTGCTGCAAATCATCTCTTCCCCTCTCTCTCTCTCTCTCTGTCCTTCCTTTGTTCCTTCTTCTTTTTCTTCTCCTTCCTTGGTTGCTTTAAGTTTTTCTACTCCCTAGTCGTACAGTACAGCTGCAGCAGAGTTTATTAAGTAAAGTTTTCAGTTCTCTGTTCTTAAGTTTCTTTTTTTTATTTTTTCAGGAGTGGGTAAAGATGGACAGCTTTCAAGTCTTGACAAACAGAAGACCCTAAGGTTAATTTTAAATTGATCTTTGCTTAACTCTGGCTCTTTATTGATTTTCTTCTGACAGAAAACTCATTTCCTCTCTCTTGCTGTAGACAGGGGGTGTGGGATAGGAGGTGGTTCTTAAAGGTGGAGGTTGCCCAGACTGAATTCCATTACAGATGCATATCTAGAGCTCAAAAGTATCTAATCAGTCACCAAAACCAGTCTGCTTAAAAACACAATCAAAAGGGGGGAAGTTTATTTGTTTTTTAAACATAGATAAGGTAAGGTCCTTGGGTAACTGTACTTCTTGCCCAACAGTTTTTGGCTACTTTCTCTGCAGGATGCAATTTTTTGGGACCAAGGATAGAGAGCAAAGGGGCCTACTTGGCACTTACCCTGAGGGTGATGGAGCGAGGGGGCTTCTGTGGAGGGTCTTCGTGCAGCCTGTCTCCCAGAGAGGCCAGAATGCGTTTCCTGTGGCCAATCAAACTGATTTTTAAAACCTGAAACAACATGCATTTGGGTTAAAGATTTTACTTGAAATACGTCTTTTTTTTTTTTTTTCTTAAATGTCCTAAAACAGGAGGAGTGACAAGAGATGGGGCTGAGTTAGCCCCACGCCTGGAGGATGTGGCGTTGAAGTCAGTGTGATCTGTTGAGTCCGGAAAGGGGAAGGGACAGCTTTGTGCCAGGAGTTTGCGGGGGCCGCTGTGCGGTGCGCAGGGGAGGCACCGAGGGCTCTCCTCGGAGTCCCACAGTAACTGGGGCACCCTTCAAAAACACAAACCAACGCTTCCCTCCCACCCTGGTCAACTCCATGATGGCTTCTAACACTGAGTGCTGATCTGGTTACAAGACCCTTAGACCTGGTTGTCCTCTGTCCCTTTCCACCCACGGGTCTGTCTTTGTCCCCTCCACGGAGGACACACAGTCAGAGGGGTCTCCTCTGCACCTGGAACACCTTTCATCTGTGCCATGGGGAGCTGCCCCTGCTGCTCCTTTCGCTGGAAATGCTGCATGCGCCTTCTGGAAGTTGCTCAAACACCGTCTCCTCTGAAAGGTTCTCCCCCAGGTCCTCCGGGAAGGAGCTGTGCCTCCACTCCCTTTGCACTGGACCCCACAACATCCTCCCTTACCCTCCTCCCTTTTTCACATCATTCTCTGAAATCATTTAATTTCAGGTTGTGATCCAGGCCTTCCCATGGGAGTTTCCTGTCAGAACAGAGCACAGCTGTGCATCTATCACTATTATAACAAAGCAATATTTGACGTAATATATGCTCAACTAATATGAAACAACGAGCGTCAATAAGGACAAAACTAGCAAATTATAAGGGTTGGAGACAAACACTACCTATCTGGGGGGTGGACTCAGAGTCTCCCCCTGCTGGTTTCGGAGAGTGATGGGAGGCTGACAGCATCAGGGCACTGAGCACCAGTGAGACCCTCAAGCCCCAGCCCTGATCCTGGTATTTACAAATGCTGCTCCCAAATTCAGTCTGGATGATCTGTCTTTGTAGACAGGGTCTTCTCAAGTCACAGATGGAGACATGGAGGCTCATGGTGGTTACACTGCCTACGCGAGAGCCAAGATTTATTCTAAGGTAGATACTGACAAGTTTTGGTCATATCTCTAACAACTACAGATTTCTGAAAAGCAAACATTACAAGCCTATTCACAGAAACCTACTTACTCCATTCATGTCCATGTACGTGCAACAACTCTTGCTGGGGACCTAGTTTCCAAAGTAGTTACGACTTAGGTCAAGATATCTCTTCCAAGTTTTGTAGGGGAAGCAGGGTAGGCATTTGTTGGGCAGACATCTCATGCTGCCTTGAATTTTACTCCCTGCTTTATTAGTTATCCTAAAGACCTTTCTGCCTGAACTGATTTCGATTCTAATGCATCATGATCTGCTCCTTCGTATCGCCCTCAGCTCCATGTCTGCTGCTGCTGGGATGGCGGTACCCAAGGCCAATGTGGATATACATCGAATCCTGCTGACAGTAGAACCTGCTGCCTTCTGCAGCCGACCAGTCCTAAACCCTCCCAGTCTGTGAACCTAAAAGCAGCTTCTCTTTCCCACGATCACTTTAGTTGCCATCATTTGGACCTTTTCCTCCCCTATAGTAATTGCTTAAGATTTGTTGAATAAAAAAATAAAAGGTCACAATATGGAAGGTATAAGTAAATCAGCTTTACATCTGAACAGGACGCTGCCATCTGCTCTGAGGGCTTCTAGTAAAATGTCTTTTTGGTTTTTTCTGCCTTTTAAACCCACCAGATCACGGGCTGGCCTTTTATCTGTGGTAGGTTGAGAGCCAAAGCCGACTGTAAGATCTCTTAATTGTATTACAGCAGTTAACTCAAAGCCCCTTAATCTTGGAAGAGTGGCTACAATGATTTCTCTCCAAATTCCTGATGTTACAGTTGTCCATGCAGAAACCCACTTGCCATGCTTCCATGCTTCTGCCCACTCACACTGCCCTGCGTTGTCTTCCTCCATTTATGTTAACCGGCTTGGCAGATCACTACCTGGTAGTTCAGCAGCTGTGCAAAGCTGAGAATCTCACTATGCGCTCCTTCTGCTAGGGATGTGTCTAATTTCTAGCCGTTAGCTTGGTATTAGACCTAATGTAAAAGAATGTATGCTTTTTCCCACTCACTGCTTAGCCGCCAACAGGAGGCAGAGTTCTCTTCTACATGGCCATTCCTTTATTGCCCCTCCCACAGAAAAACCAACAAGAGTGCCAACAGAAATGCATCAACTCAAGACGATTCACGTCAGCTCCACCTGACTAATTCACCTTATCAACCAGAAATGAGTCTATGTAACCGCAAATACTGCCAATAACCACCATGGATTGAATATTTTCTGCGCTCTAGCAACCCTTGAAATTGCCAAATACATGATACAAGCATATGAGTAACTCATTCAATGCTTATATAACACGATCAGTCCCATTTAAAGATGCAAAATCTAACACTGAGAAGCAGTGAGTAATTTGTGTAACACTCCTTTTTCTGGCTATTATTAACTCCTATACCTTTTGGCCTTAGCTACACTTTCGGTTATGCCATCACAACTTTTTTTTTAAATAGATGGTATTTCTTATGTTGAATTACCATGCCAAAACATATATTATGGATTTTGGCCATCTGAAAATATTAAATTTAGTGTTGGGTAAGACGTAAAGTCCAAAAAGAATGAGAAACCCTCATAGCTCATGATTTAATCCAAACTAATGATGGAATGGAAGAGAAAGTGTCATTTGATTTCAAAACTCCAATCCAACAATAAGATGTCCAATTGGTAGGTGACAGCACAGAGAAGAGTCCAAAGAAAGATAGCCATCATGGAAAAGCCACATCCAAAGGCAACAGGGTTCATCTTGAGTGAGAAGAGCTTAATGCTGCATCATTTCTGAATGGGTTCCTGAACAGTAGGATCCTGTCCATGGCTGTAGATACCCTGACTGGTGACCAGCAAACTTTTAGTTTTTCAAAAAACCACAGCAATGGTTACTGGGATAGGGAAGAATTCCTTGGCTTGAATGACTATGAACTGTGTGTACCTGAAACCCAATGGGAGTAAAATAGGAAGCCACAGGAATGCACCAGGGATTTCATTATTCTAAGACATTGAGGAAACTCAATTCAACCACAGTAACAATACAGAATTTCTGCCACAAAATATTCACAGAGTTTATAATATTAGAGAGAGTGGGCACAAATAACTACAAGTTGTTACGAAAAATGATGATACAAACTGAGACATGAATGCAGCTCTGACTGCTTCCGACAGGTAAGAAATAAAAGTTAGTTATTTGTATGTTTTCCTAATGGTTTTTATTACAACCACTATAAAGAAAATGCAGATTTGTTAAAATGGAAGCGATATTGTTCAAATAGTCCAGGCTGGTCACAGATTGGTACCCATTCACCACAATAGGAGCTGCTTTCAGGATCTGTCTCTAGTGTCTGCTGGGACAGCTTCAGAAACCCTGCCAGTCTCAGCAGTGGGAGCTGCACTGTGCTGAGTGACAGTGTTATAATATCACAGTATTGTCATCTATGTTTCTGGGTTGAGCTTCAGCAGTTCTGCCAGATAAAATCCTGACATCACCCTTGCACTGAATAGCACACCTGAGATTACACATCACAGCAAAGCTGAAAGTCAGCGTACTCACTTTTTCCAACTTCAGTGTGATCTACATGAGACACGTTACACTGAATGCCACCTAAATTAAACCTGTGTTTTATCTCCTCTTAAAAAGATGATCTGATTATAATGCTGCTTTGAAAAACAAACAAATCGAGTTATCTGTAGCCTAGAAACACTTTTCATCTCTCTCATGATTATATTTTGTAGTGACCGTCTGTGAGCACTCCCATTAAGTGTGTGGAAAAACAGAATTAAAAGCCAAGTTCAGGGGCTCCCCTTGTGGCATCATGGGCTAAGCCACAGCCAGTACAGCCGTATTCCATATCAGGGCGATGCTTCTAGTCCTGGCTGCTCTGCTTCCCGTGCAGTTCCTTGCTAATGCACCCGGGACAGCAGCGGAGGGATGGCCCCCTTCCTTATCTGCTCCCTGGCTCCCAGCCTGCTGGCAGTGTTTGGCAAGCGAAGCTCTGAAGCTCTCTCCCTCTCTTTCAGATGCTCGCATTTCAAATAATCTTTTAAAACAAAGAAAATGCTGAGAAAAAAATACGCTTATATTTTGGCAAAAAGTTTGAAATCATTATGTATCATTAACATGACACACATTTTTCTATGCACCTTTTCGTATGCATGGATTTCACTAAATTTTGAGCCAAAATAAACTTATCTTTTAAATTCCATTTTACATGGACTTTTTATATCATTATATCTATTTTATTATTTTTAAGATCTATTTATTTTTATTGGAAAGTCAGACTGACAGAGACACACAGAGGCAGAGAAAGATCATCCAGTCGCTGGTTTACTCCCCCAGTGGCTGCAATGGCTGGAGCTCAGCCAATCCAAAGCCAGGAGCAGGGAGCGTCGTCCCATCTCCCACACAGGTGCAGGTGCAGGGTCCCAAAGCTTTTGGCTGTTCTTTATCGCTTTCCCAGGCCACAAGCAGGGAGCTGGATGGGAAGTGGAGCATTTCGGATACAAACTGACACCCATTGGGATACTGGTGCATGCAAGGCAAGGTCTTTAGCCACTAGGCTATTGTGCTGGGCCCTACATGGACTTTTGGAACTACCCTAAAATTTTTACTTATACATTAAGGCTAAAGTCTTAATGTATAAGTAAAGTCCATGGGTAACTCCCAGGAGACATTTACAGAAAGCGTATTGCCATAGTATTGCTCTAAAGACACATTTTGTAGCACAGACCATTCCCTGCATTGCTGGAAATTTAGACTGTGCTTTTCTGGATATCAGACATTTCACATGCTTTACCAAATCCTATTATCCTTCCATTTCCATTTTTATTACTGTCTTTGCACAGACACAACACGAGAAACACTA